TGAAGTTATAATTTTGAAAGGTTTAATTCTAGTAGGAGTTTATCCAAACATGTCTTGAGGACTTGTGCAAGGTAAAGAGCATCTTGGAACCCACAGAGGACAGAGATCTTAACCTGGATTTCCTCATCATTGTAGGAACAACTTGCTGAATTAACTGATCACTTTCAATCACTAAATGACACCTTGTTTTTCTAAAAAAAAAATGCCGCTTCTTGTTGAGACTCATTGGTCGTTTTACTTGACCACCAATCAGGTTGGTCAAGCAGAGAGGCTGGTAGCAGTAAAGTGCCCCGACCACAATCTGAGAGTGGGAGGCATTGCAGGGCATACAACTTGTAGCATTGGGCCCTGTTTACTTTCAGGTTGGTGCAGTGGCAGGATCTCAATAAAAAAAGTTTTGAAAGCGTCAAACTTTGAAAGAGTCAGCGGAAGCAGCAAGGCAAAAGGAATGAGGCGAGATGTCCACATGCACAAGGAAATGCCAGGGTCCGTGCCAATAGATGAGCTGAGATGATGCACTGAGTGCCAACCCTGCTCTCAATCCCAAAACTTTCAGAGGCTGGTTACTGGCGGCATCTGATTCCATGAAAAGATATTGTTTTCTGCCTACATTCTTCCTGCTACTTCTTCGTCAAAGCAGAACACCAGCTGCGGGCAAATGTCAAGCCGGCAACGTTTCAAAGAGCCAAGCTTACTGGGAGTCTCTTGTGGGGGGGGGGGCATGACTGGTTTCTGTCCAAGCCATCTTAACAAAAGTGCATTCTGATAGTGTTCCTTTCCAACTTCAGAACGCACCGAAAGCGATTCGCGGTCACTGGGGTGAAAACTTTGAAGAGATTTGGAGTTTGGGTTGTGCATGTCTTTGTAGAGCAGGTTGTAGACATGCTCGCGGAGCCAGTGGGTTTGTTTGCAAACGTTTCATCACCCTGCCTGGGAACATGTTCAGCGTGCCTCCGGCGAAGCGTTGGTGTTCGGTCCCGTCCCACTTGTTATTATAGGTCTCGGTGTGCTAGAGTGGTTGGTGTCACTTCCAGTTCTGTTTCTCAGTGATTGCCCTGTCCTGATATACAAACCACTGAGAAACAGAACGGGAAGTAATCCCAACCATTCCAGCAAACTAAGACATATAAATAACTCGTGGGACTGAACACCAAGGCTTCACTGGAGGTGTACTGATGATGTTATCTAGCAGGGTGACAAAACGTTTGCAACCAAACGCACCTGCTCAGCAAGCATGTCTACAACCTCAATGGGGTGAACTGTGAAGGTTGGCATCTGTGGTAACGTAGGGAGAAGCAGCAGGAAATTTGGGCACTGCAAGCTCCCACAAGTTGCTCACATTTAGCATTGCTCACTGAGGGAAAATGAGTAACCAGAATACCAGCGAAGATTTGATAAACAGTGCCTGGAGTGTACTTAATTGACAAGCAGTTATGTGAGTGAAACGGTGATGGATTTAACTTTGTACCCAACATAACCGAGCTGCGACAATGCTTACAAAGCTTGCCCTGTGTCCTAAACGGCAGACTCCTCAAAGAGGCACTTAAACATGGTGTGAGCTCAAAGAAAACCAGCCCCATTGGCTTATCAGAGAAAGGATGAACACATCAATATTCCCACACACCCAGAACTAACTGTTCAGATGTACAGAACAACCTCTCTTTTTCCTCCAGGCTAAAGTTATTGAATAACATTGTCAGAAGACAAGCTCAACCATTTTGTTCTTTTCCTGCCTGTGATTGAAGGCAGTGGTTAATAATGACGGGCTCACGGTATAAATAGACGGACAGTTAATCCAGAGACCCAGCTGATGTTCTGGCGAGCTGGATTTGAATCCCACCAACAGCGGAAAGTGGAATTTGAATTCAATGAAAATATCTGGAATTAAGAGTCTAATAATGACAGAGCCTGTTATCAATTGTTGGGAGAAACCCCATCTAGTTCACCTGTGTCCTTTAGGGATGGAAACTGCAATCCTTGCCTGGAGTATAACTGCCCTCTGGACAATAAACACTAGCCTCGCCTGGGACACCCTCATCCATTAACAAATTTTTTAAAAAACTGTTTGATAATAATTGGTGCACTGCATGAGCTAAACCGAATCTGCATTGCTGAAACTCTCCAGGGCCCTGTGAACATCCTAGGACGTTTGTGTGAAGATATTAGGAGGAAGAGAACAAACTATAGAGAAACACATCGCTCAAGGCAACGGAGATGTCACAACTAAAGTTTATGAAGGTGCTTGGACAGTAACTCGCAGGTTTGTGTCAGGGCCATCCTTCTAATTAGGTCACCAGCAATGGGTTATAATTTTTGATCTTGATGCAGGAGGGAAGGCACATGTTCATTGTCCAGCTGCAGACCCCAGTGTTAGTGAGGGCCTGAAGGGTGGAGGAGTGGTTAGGCCCACACATTCCAAAACAGAGCCCGCAGCCTGTGTTCATGTTTAGATGGGATTTGTACAGTAGATGCTGGAGTCAGGACCATCTGTCTCTGACATCAGCCCAAAACTCCCAGGAGAAAGCCCATGAAAAAACAAACAAATATTCAGAGGTGAGGGTCGACGTTTGTACTGGCAATTCTTGCTGAAGTATAGAAGACAAGTCAAAGCAGTGTGTCTCATTCACCAGTTTGACTTGTCCCATACAATTGGGACAGTGTGGAAGCAGCCCAATGGGCCCATCGAGTCCACACTGCTGCCCCAACCCCTCCAAAGCACAGCCCACCCACACCGATCCCGAACCCCCTCCCCTGTAACCCTATATTCCCCATGGCTAACCCACCTCGGCTGCACATCCCTGGACACTGGGGCAACTCCACATGGCCAATTCATCCTTACCTGCATATCTTTGGGCTGTGGGAGAAAACTGAGCACTCAGTGTAAACACAGACACAGGGATAATGTGCAAACACCACACAGTCACCGGAGGGTGACTTGAACCCAGGTGCCTGGTGCTGTGATGCAGCAGTGCTAACCACTGAGCCACCATACCACCCATGCCCAGAGGCTGGGTAAAGACGCAGGGAGACAGCATGGAGGGTCAGTCTGATCAACATCTCACTCACTCTGGACAACAAGGTGTCCTTGTTCACAAACACCACCCCCATGATGTAATTGGAGCAAACTCAGGACAGTTTATACCAGTGTTCACATTATACAGGGAAATGGTGTGAAGTGATCTCATCAGAAATGGACTTCCCATTTTGTGCTGTTTACAAGCCCCTGTAGTCACTGCAAGAAGCAAAACCCAAACAATACCTTCAGAAAAAACAAAGTCAGGAAGGTTTCTTCAGGGTTCAGAAAGTATCCCCCAGGAATATCAACTGCTATGTGAGGACGCAGAGACAAACGAGCTGCCAGAAACAGGAAACAAGGAATCACTGCTTTATTGGACTATTCCAACAATAGTTGAGTCTGCTTGTGTTTCCTGTACAGGAACAAGGCCATCAATGAAGCAGAGATCAGGGAGACAGCTGTCACTGTCAGGGCCACCATCACAACCAGCTCAGACTGCACACCTACACAACAAGGAGAAACCAATGGTTACTGAGGGAAACAGGGACAAAGAGGGAAACTAGCAGTCAGACAACTCACCGCCTGGAGACCTCTCCTGCATCCTTTGCTCAACCGGAGTCAGGGGCTTAGTTGCCAGGCTGGTCAGCTCAGGATCCAGAATAAGCAGGGGACCAAGAGAGGCCTCACCCTCCCACTTCAATGCAGCTTCACTCTCTGCAAGAAGAAACATTTCAGTCAGGGACAGGGAGGGGGTGTTGTAGCCAAAACGTCTAGAGGGTCAATGACCTACCATCTTCAGGTCCAAGGTCTCTCCTTCTTCTGGAGGGAAGCAGGATCTCCCTTGTGCTGCCACAGTTCCCAACCTGGCAACAGGCACAAATGTCACTGTTTGATTCCTCCAGTGGGGTCCAGCTAAACAGGAGAAACAGCCCATCAACAACACAGTGAAATCAACTCTCCCCAACAACGTCACCGAGGGACAGGGAGACAGTGGGATGGGGGGTGTACACTTACACCTTGTGCAGCTTCTGGAAAGTACAAGCTTTGTTCCTGGAATCTCCCTGATCCACTGCAGCAACTTTCAGGTGACAGGTGATGAAAATCTGAGGGACACATTCAGCACAAGTTAGTGTTTAGTGACTCCCACCCAATGGGGAGGAGCCAATCAGCAGCTTCCTCTTACCAAGGAACGCTCATCTCCATAGAAGCGGAAGGCATCCAGGTCAAACCTGAGCTTGTCCGGCTCCCGCTCGTCTCTCGGCAACACAAAGGTTGAAAAGGAGTCCTCAGCTTTGCTGTCCAGGAGGCAACTGCAGGTGAACAAAGGGCCATGAAGTGAATGGAGTGAAGCCATTGAGATAGGAGCAGCTGGAGAAAGCAAAGAGCTCCTTACCCATTGTAGTCAATGATGCTGTATCTGGGGCTGGAGTCCTTGTCTGGGCTCAGTGTAGCTACACAGCGGTCAATGTACAGCTTCAGGGGCATGTGGTTGTCCATTGAAACAGACGCCTCAATGTGAATGAGGTCTCCCAGGGAGTAGACAGTGGAAGTGCGCTCTGTCAGCCAGTCACCTGAAGTACAAGAGGACAGGGGTTGGAGACAATGGGTGCAACTCCCAGTGAGCGACACCAGGAGATCCGTCCCCAGCCACCCATCACATACCATTCATTAGACGCAGGGAGAATGC